CGGTGCGCCGGAACAGAACAACTCAACCTGACTCTTTCGCTTTTGGAACTATGCCAAAGAACATTTAATTAATTCAGTTGAACAGTCAGACTCAGACGAACGCATTCGCAAGGCAGCTGCTATGCTGTCTATTCTTCACTGTTTTTTTGTTCTGTTCTCGTACTTATAAGTGTTATATGTCATTTTCTTGTTTATACTTGTATTGTGCAGTTATTTAATATAAGTTTGTGTTTAAAACGAGGACGTGTTTTGAGTTCCTTCACATTTACATCGCAACATAATATTTTGGAGGCACCGGCGAGATTAAAGGACTTTTGATTTCGGTTTCGTCAGCACTGCAACGCTGCATTCGGTACAGTAATGGATACTACTGGATACTTTTAGCTTCGAACTTCATTTAAAGACCAAGCAAGATAAGTATTTTTTTTTCTTTTTTACAAGTTTGACTTTGGTTTTCCTCATTGCACCATTACGTCGTAATGGAAGACAAGGTTAAGATTGCAAAAAATAGTAGAGGTAGAGCGAAAGCTGCTCTTACCAGAATTTCAAATTTCATTAATGATGATAAGCAGTTATTCGAAAAATACGATTTAATGAATAAACTTCAAAAAATTGAAAGCGTTTATTCTGATTTTGACAAGGCAGACGCAGAACTTCCGCCGGAAAGTTCTGAAATGGAAGAATTTGAGAAAAAATATTATGAAACCAAAGCCAAACTACAACAAGAACTTGAGAAATTAAATGTTACTGTTAATATGCAAGTTACTAATGTTAATGAACGTCAAATGCCAGGTTATAGTACTACAAATACTGCTAATAATTTTAAATTACCGAGAATAAATATGCAATCTTTTAACGGTAATTACAGAAACTGGATGTCTTTCAAGGACTTATATGTATCATTAGTGCATAACAATGAAAATTTAAGCAACATTCAAAAATTTCAATATCTAAAGGGTTTATTAACTGATGAACCGGCTTCTATTATTAAACATATTCCCATTTCAGAAAATAGTTATATGGAAGCCTGGGGAAAATTATTATCTAGGTATGATAAGAAAAACAAAATTGTCACATCACTAATAAAAACTTTCATGGAACAATCTTGTGTAATTAATGCAAACTCAATTAATTTGCGAAAAATTGCCGATACATCTGATGAAATTATCAGAGGTTTAAAATCTATTGATCCAAAAGCTAGTGAAAGGGATGTTTGGCTAATTTATATTTTATTACAGAAGGTTGACAACGAAACATGTAAACAATGGTCTGAGTTTTCAGCAAAAGTGGAATTTCCTACTTTTGAAATGTTTATTCAATTTATAAATGATAGATGTTCCTCTTTAGAAATTTTCCACGAAAAAGAAAGGGAAAAAACTCAACCTAGTGTTAAAAGATTTTCTGTGAACAAAAGTATCAAATGTATTATGTGTAAATCAGATCATTTTCTTTTCAAATGCCCCAAATTTAAAGCACTAACTGTCAAAGAAAGAAATCAATTTGTCAGGAAAAATAATCTTTGTTTAAATTGTTTTTCTAGTCAGCACAAAAAATCTGAATGTATGTCTCAACATCGTTGTCATTATTGCCAGTTATTGCATCATAGTACTCTGTGTGAAAATCAGTTAAAAAGTTATTCCACATCTGCGTCTCTTTCTGAGAGCCAGTTTTCAGTCAGAACAGCAAAGAAAGAATCCAACCGCGAATGAAATACCAGACATTGCGTCTACGAATGAAAACAAAAACGGAACTGTAATTCAAAATAATAGCGTTCAAACAACTTTTGGCTTATTGCCAACTGCGTATGTAAATGTAATTGATTCGATGGGTCAAAAACGTAATATTAGAATGCTTTGTGATAGTGGTTCCGAATCAACATTATTATCTGAATCTTGTATTAATTTATTGGGATTTAAAAGGAAAAATGCGCGTTTTCCTGTCAAGGGTTTAGCTGAGTCAGAAGTCGCAGTTACAAAAGGTTGCGTTGAAATCGAGTTGATGTCAATCCATGATACATCAGTGAGAATGCCAATTAAGGCATTTGTATTAGATAAACTAACTGCTGCGCTTCCAAGCCAAAAAATAAATGAGAAAGACTTTTCGCATTTGAAAAATGTAAAGTTAGCTGATCCATATTTTCACATTCCGGATAAGATAGATATTATTCTAGGATCTGACTACTTGTTTTCTATTTTACTTCCTGGACAAATAACTTGTTCTCAAAGTGATTTAATTGCTCAAAACTCAATTTTTGGTTTCCTCATATCCGGAAAACTACCGGAATCTCAAACGAAATCAAATTCACTTTCAAACATGCATATTTATGAAATAAATATTGACAGCGAATTGAAAAGGTTTTGGGAGTTAGAAGAAGTACCAAATTCAACTGACACTGTATTCTCACCTGAAGAACAATTTGTTGAAACACATTTTCGGGAAAATTACTCAATTAATTCAGATGGTCGTTTTGTGGTGAAGTTGCCATTTTTAAAATCTAAATCTGAATTAGGTAATTCAAAACCAGCTGCACTTTCTCGATTATATGCTATGGAACGTAAATTTAAGGAAAACTCGGAATTTGAAAACCAATACAAGGATTTTATGCATGAATATGAAAATTTAGGTCATATGGAATTGGTCACACAAAACTGTTTAAATAGATTTCAGAATGAGCAATATTTCCTTCCCCATCATGCAGTGATCAAGCCGTCTAGTACAACTACCAAATTAAGAGTCGTTTTCGACGCTTCATGTAAAACTTCCAACGGTAAATCATTGAATTCAATCTTGGGTGTTGGTCCTAAATTGCAACGAGACATTTTCGAAATTTTACTTAATTTTCGATTTCCGGAAATAGTCTTTTCAGCAGACATAGAGAAAATGTACCGTCAAGTTTTAGTGTCCGATGAGGATCGGAACTACCAACAAATTCTTTGGAGGTTTAATCCTAACGAAGAAATACGCACATACAAGTTAAACACCGTAACATATGGTTTAGCTCCAGCTTCTTTCCTAGCCACTAGGTGCATTAAGCAAATTGCACTAGATTATTCACAAAATAGTGCTGTGTTCTCATACTTTACTACACGATGTATACATGGATGATTTGCTATCGGGTTCAAGTACCGATAGTGATGCAATATCACTTTGTAAGGAAATTACCAATATTTTACAAACACACGGTTTCCACCTACGAAAGTGGAATTCTAATTCAAATGCATTTCTTGCAGAATTTCAAGAACATTGTTCAACGGACACTAATTTAGAAATAATTCCTAATGATAAGGAAAGCACGAAAGTCTTAGGATTATTTTGGAACTCTTCAACAGACACATTCATTTTCAAACCCGCACTTGCACTCACCTCACCGCTGACAAAAAGACACATTTTGTCCCAATCGGCACGCATTTTCGATCCATTAGGATTAATTTCACCATGTACTGTTGTAATTGAAAATTTTTTATCAGAAGCTCTGGCTTACAAAAGGGGACTGGGATTCTCCTATTCCACAAAGTCTTGCTGAAGATTTGTTTAAATTTCAGAAATCTTTCAATGCAGTTGAACATTTTACCGTTCCTAGAGGTGTCACGCTTATTTCCTCTGACACATTTGAATTGCACGGCTTTTGCGACGCGTTCAACACTTGCTTACGCTGCTGCAATATATTGCAAACAAATACACGGAAATGAAATAAAGATTTCTCTCTTAGTTTCTAAAACTAAAGTCGCACCTATCAAACAAGTATCTGTTCCTAAATTGGAACTATGCAGTGCTCATTTGCTTTCAAAGTTATATCGTGCAGTCATGAACACTCTCAAAAAATATAAGTTTGATGTTTACGCTTGGACTGACTCCAAAGTCGTACTTTCCTGGCTTCTCGGCACATCCCCGTAAATGGAAGACTTTTGTTGCAAACCGGACGTCTCAAATAATCGAAGTACTTCCAACAAAATACTGGAGGCATGTCCCTTCCAAAGAGAACCCAGCAGATATCGCTTCGCGTGGTATTGATCCCAAATGTCTTCCTAATTGCAACTTGTGGTGGAATGGCCCAAGTTGGCTTTTTTTGGATTCGTCTCACTGGCCGAAAGAGGAATCCGCTTCCAAAGAAATCAAGGATCTAATTAAAGCTGAACAAAGATCTGATCCTATATTTTCATTTCATAGTGCTACATCAAATGAATTATATAGTGATTTATTTGAAAAATATTCATCATTTTCTAAGATTATACGCATTTTAGCATATTGTTTAAGATTCATCAATAAGTGCAAAACCAATAACAAATGTCAAACACTTATAACTGATTCCTTTTCTCCACTCACTTACACGGAAACTAAAAATGCAGAAATAATCATAATTCGATGGGTTCAGAAAGATTATTTTAATGAAGACCTAAAATGCATTAAAAATCAAAGATCGTTGCCTAAGAAAAGTCAGCTACACACTCCCTCCATCCGTTTATAGATGAAAACAGTCTTTTACGGGTGGGAGGGCGTTTACAAAATTCAGAATTGTCTTTTAATCAAAAGCACCCAGTGATTCTACCTGCTAAACACAAGATAAGTGAGCTCATCGTAAAAGAAAAGCATGTGACTTATTTACATGCTGGTGCTTCATTACTGTCCCACATTATCAAACAATCATATTGGATCAATAGGTGGAAAAAAGCTCATTAATAAATGTGTTCACAAATGCATCAAATGCTTCAAATTTAAAGCATCCACCGCATCTCAGCTTATGGGTAATCTACCTAAGCATCGTGTAACACTCGAGAGGCCTTTCTTCAACTGCGGAGTGGACTATGCCGGTCCTATTTCAATCAAATTCAACAAGGGTCGTGGAGCAAAATCAACCAAGGGTTACATTGCTCTATTTATTTGTCTCGCTACTAAGGCACTACACATCGAGGCAGTGAGCGATTTAACCGCTGATGCATTTTTAGCTGCTTTGCGTCGCTTCAGTGCTAGACGAGGAGCTCCAAGTCACATTTACAGCGACAATGCAACAAACTTCGTTGGGGCTAATCGAAAGCTCAGCGAAATACAACGATTGTGGGCCTTCACTTCCTAAGAACGAAGCCGTTGCTCATCATTTAACTCAAGCATCAATAGAATGGCACTTTATACCTCCAGCATCTCCTCATTTCGGAGGAATTTGGGAGGCCGCAATTAAATCAACCAAATATCACTGTAAAAGAGTAATAGGTGAAACGCTACTTACTTTCGAAGAATTGACAACTCTATTGGCTCAGATAGAAGCCATTTTAAATTCTCGTCCGTTATGTAGTGTAAACAATACTGACATTGATTGCATTAATATTCTCACTCCTTCACATTTTCTTACAGGAGACGTGATCCTATCCCCTCCTGAACTACCTCTTACTAGTCCTGCTAATATACGGAATAGGTGGGATCTCCTTCAAAAGATGCGCAAGGACTTCTGCAAATCATGGACCAAAGCATATCTATCTTCTCTTCAAACCAGAAAGAAATGGAAGGACACTCAGCCGAATATGAAAATTGGAGACATCGTCCTGTTACTAGATGATGGTCATCTTCCAGGTTCTTGGCCACTAGGACAAGTGGTCGAACTTCATCATGGTGCTGACGGACTGGTTCGTGTGGCCACGGTTAAAACTAAAAACTCTATTTTTAAAAGAAACATTCATAAATTAGCACCTTTGCCCATATATCAGGACTAATGCCTGATAGGGTGGGAGTATGTTCCGGTGCACCGGAACAGAACAACTCAACCTGACTCTTTCGCTTTTGGAACTATGCCAAAGAACATTTAATTCAGTTGAATAGTCAGACTCAGACGAACGCATTCGCAAGGCAGCTGCTATGCTGTCTATTCTTCACTGTTTTTTGTTCTGTTCTCGTACTTATAAGTGTTATATGTTATTTTCTTGTTTATACTTGTATTGTGCAGTTATTTAATATAAGTTTCGTGTTTAAAACGAGGACGTGTTTTGAGTTCCTTCACATTTACATCGAACACGTTTTGTCAATTAATTTGTTAAATTGTTAACTCAGACTTTTTCTGAATAATAATACAAACAGAACAGGGGATGGTTTTTCTAGGATGCCATTTTTGGTGGCGTGTGTTGTTGCTGTAGATATAACGATGGTAGCTTGACTCGGTAATATTAACATTTTTACTTAATACTAGAAAAGATATATATTTCAACACACGTTCACTGATACACAGTCACAATGATTACAGTTCGTACGATAAACATTTTTATAGTTAGCAAGTCATCATGAAAGTGAAGCGGAAGAGAGGTGAGCGGGTGATTCACCGACGGCAGCCAGGGACAGAGTAGTCAGTCCGAATTTTCCCCTAGTGAAGAAGAGGGAGAAAGCTGGTAGCACCCTCTCTTGGGCCAGTGGACAAATAATAATAAAGAGTTCTCCACAGTATTCCCCCCCCCGAGTACCAAAGGTACGATGAAAAATCAGTTCACAAATATCTGGTGTTGAAGCGCACACGTCTTCCCGATCGTGTGATAACTGGTGGAGCACTGGAAGGAAGCATAAGGTCGATCGAAGGAGAAGCATCTGGAGAAACAGTTGGGGTCCGGCGAAGCAGGAGGATCTCTGGGCACAGGAACCTGAGTGTTTGAAGCTCCGAAGAAGGCAGGCTTCAGTCTCTCTATTCCAGAGCGGTTTCCTTGTCGCGCACGAGAACGGTGAAATGTTTATTGTTACGTGCACAGACCTTGAAGGGTCCATCGTATGGAGGAGTGAGTGGTGGTTTTCGTACAAACGCGTGAGTGCAAATACTCAGTGCATGGTGTACGAATGGGGTGGATTTGTTGTGGCATGATGTAAGGAGTCGGAGACAGCTTCTTCATCGCCTCTCGGAAAGTCTGGGAGAAGGGATGCTGGATCGACTGGAGCAGAGGATGGCTGAAAGAACTCGGATGGTAATCGAAGGGCTGTGCCGTAGACAAGTTCAGCGGATGTACCTGCGAGGTCTTGCTTGAAGGAAGAACGTAAACCAAGAAGCACAAGAAGGAGTGATGTAGTCCAATGGGTGTGTCATTATGGCACTTTAGAGCTGCCTTTCAGATCGCGGTGGAAACGTTCCACTAAGCCGTTGGCGGAAGGATGGTATGGTGAAGTGCGAATTCGGCGTATTCCAAGCATAGATGTCAGAGAAGCGAAAAGGTGGGACTGGAATTGTCGACCTTGATCAGTAGTCACAATGATCAGTACACCAAATCGTGTAATCCAACCGGAGAGAACAATTGTCGAGCCACAGAGTCAGCAGAGATGTCCTGAATGGGAAAAACTTCAGGCCAACGAGTAAATCTGTCAACACAGGTGAGATATCGATAACCGTCAGATGGTGGCAGAGGACCGACGATGTCTATATGAACATGGTCGAATCGTTCGGAGGGCATCACGATTTTTTCCAAAGGGCTATGTGTGTGCCGGGTAACTTTCGAATGCTGGCACATGATGCAGGAACGAGACCAATTGGCAATGTCCTTTAGCATGGATGGCCAAACGAATCTTTCTTGTATGAGCTTTTTGGAAGATCGGATACCTGGGTGCGATAGGTTGTGGAAACAGTCAAGAACTTTTTTTTCTGAAGTCATGTGGTACATAAGGTCGAAGTCTGTTGTTAGAGGTATCGCACAATGACGAGAATTTCAATTAGCAGTTTGAGTCTTCACTCAGGCGTTTCCTCATCGGTGGCTTGCGAGTGGGCAATAAGTGTGAAATCCAGCGGTGCATTGGCATCGATGCCTTGAATATGCGAGAGAGTATCTACGGACGACATTGCTGGAACCTGATATATGCTGAATTCCTGTGCTGAACTGAGCTATGTAATTTAAATGACCGAATTTGTCTCGGGGAAGCAGAATTTGATTTTGATGTGAATGCATAAGTTAGAGGTCGGTGATCAGTAAATATAGTGAAGTGTTGACCTTCAGAGATTATGCCTGAAATATTTTATAGCTGCATAAATAGTTAATAACTGTCTGTCATATGTGCAGTATTTTTGTTCTGGTGGGGATAACTTACGTGGGAAAAAATCCTAGCGGCTGGTAGTTATTAGAGTGCCGAACGTTTAAGACAGCTCCGATGGAAATGTCAGAAGCGTCAACCATAATACTCAGCTTTTGGTTAGGAGAGAGTTGCAGCGTTAATAAGTCGTGCTTACATTTTTTCAAATGCCTGATTCAGTTTGTCGTTCCAAGGAATAGGGCGTTTATCATTTTTACGTGAATCTTTTAAGAGTTCATTCAGTGAAGCTTGGGTCTCAGCTGCCTTTGGTAAGAAGCGGCGATAGAAGTTTATCATGGCTAAGAAACGTCTGAGCTTGACAATAGTGGTAGGTTTTTGGGAAGTCGGCAATTGCTTTTGTTTTTTCAGGCAGGGGTTTTACACCTGAAGCAGTAATGAGACAACCTAAAAAGGAAACAGATGGTTTTCCGAGTACGCATTTGTTAGGGTTTAAGGTCAAACCCGTGTTCTTTCAAACGATCAAACACTTGACGAAGATGACGGATGTGCTCTACTTCACTAGTCGATGCAATAAGGATGTCGTCAAAATAAGGGATGCAAAAATCCAATCCAAATAAAACTTCATGTATAAAACGTTGGAAAGTTTGGCCTGAATTACGTAACCGAAACGGCATAGCCAGAAATACAAAAAGACCAAAAAGGCTAGTGACAGCCGTTTTCCGAATGTCTGCGGGGTTAACAGAGATTTGATTATAGGCACGGGCTAAATCAAGAGTTCAGAATATGTTCTTTCCTGAAAACATTTCAGTGCAATCCTGAATATGGGGTACGGGATAACAATCCGGGATGGTAACCGTGTTTAAGCGACGATAATCCCCGACTGGTCGCCAGTCGCCTTACGAACCATATGCAGGGGGATTGCCCAATGGACTTTTTAAAGGCTGAATGATGCCTTTTGATAGGAGAAAGTCAAACTCTTGGCGTGCAGCTTGAAGTAATTCTGGAGATAATCTTCTAGGTTTGAGAAAATAGGGGTCCTTTAGTTTCAATGTGATGGAAAATTGTTGACATTGGTGGCCCTCTCAAAAGTTTGCGAAGAATTTGTCGAAGCTGGGGTAATCGGCAAGAATTTTGTCAAATTTTTAGTTACCCATCAAAATATGAATGCTAGTACTGAGCGGGTTCACATTGGGAAGTCTACCCAAGAATATAGTTTTGTTTGTCCATCAATTAAACGGTTGTTTTTAACATCTATAAGTAAGTTGAACTTCGTGAGAAAGTCAACACCTATGTGTTGATTGACGTCTGCCAGGACAAAAGGCCAAGTAAATGAGCGACGTAAGTTTAAATTGATGGTCAAGAAGTTTGGTGCCATACGTTGCTATTTTGGTGCCGTTAGCAACAAAGTACTAAGTCAGCTGGGTTTTTGGCGTGCTGACTGTAACTCTTGGGAATGACAGATAAATCGGCTCCGGTGTCAATTAAAAAGGCGAGTTTTGACGATGGATTGGCCTAAAAGAATTCGATTAATGTGGCGGTCGCAACGTTGGCCAACAAGCGATCGCCGATCTAGTTTTCCAACTGCCGGAAATTGCATGGAGAAACACACTTCCGTGCATTGGAACTAAAATTAGTATGGTAGAAACAAATGTTATTGCACGGTTCTTTATACTGGCGATAGCGTCCATTGGATCTATTACGCCTTTTGTTGCGTTGGGAATGATTGTCTTCGTTCACAGAAACGCTCACGGCTGTTTTTGATGGCTAGCGAAAGACCATTTACTTGCTTCGTCAGCTTTGCAACTTGCTGTTTAATGGGAGAAGTAGATGCCGTAGCAGCACTATTTATGTTAGGGAGAGTTGAGAGATCTGTAATTTTATCAGCTACAACTGCGAGTTTTGGGAGATCATCACTTAAGGCAGCAAGAATACTTTGTGTATTTTGCGGGAGACAGGATATCCATAGAGATTTCAACAAGGGTTCTCCAACGGTCACTCTAGCATACGGCAAAGTAGTTGGGAAGGGAGCTGATCGCCAAGTTCTAGCCCCTGAAGAAGTGTACGGATCTTTGACTCCTCACTTTCAGAATGCAATTCAATTAAGCGTTTTTATAATGCATCTTATTTGCCAGTCACTGGTGGGTGCAAAACGATATCCCAAACGCTATTGAGAATATCGGATTCGATTGCAGATTTCACATGATCGAATTTCGTAGAGGAAACAGTGATTCCGGCGATTTCAAACTGGGCCTCCAGTTGTGCAAACCATAAAGTGGGATTGACTTTCCAAAATGGGGGAGGCTTGACAGAAACACGTGACATTAAGTTTGTCTGCGACGTTTTGTGATGGAGCCATGATTAACAAAAACATATATATATTGCCAAATGTGAGATAAATAAATACACAAAAATCAGTCACTAATAAGTTCACATAAGCTACTAGTGCAAAATAAATAAAGAATTTGCGTGACTAACCTCTGAATTGTACGAGAAATATTTGCTCAGTCAGCGGCAGATTCAGCATAACACAATTCACTTATAGAAAATATTCCGAAAAACTTATTTTGCGATATGTAACCATGTTGTAGGATATATATGTAAATCATTTCGAAGCACTTTAACGTTTTGCACGAGGCACATTCACAAGCACGTTTGTTAAGGAGACACAACTGTTTTTCACACATTTTGACGTTAACACAAAAATAATGATGGATTATTATATTCGCTTGCGTTAACAGACGATATTTTCACTTCACAGCACTTTATGAGCACAGAAATTGACGATGCAAGCAGGTTCTAGGAGGCACGTGTTCACTAACTAGACGGGTCATCATTTATGGCTTTCGTCTATGGATGCCATTTTTGGTGGCGTGTGTTCTTGCTGTAGTTATAACGATAGTAGTTTGGCTCGGTAATATTAACATTTTTATTTAATACTAGAAAAGATATATATTTCAACACATGTTCACTGATACACAGTCATAATGATTACAGTTCTTACGATAAGCATTTTTATAGTTAGCAAGTCCACATAGGTGAAAAATCATGAAAGTGAAGCGAGAGGTGAGCGCATGCTTCACCGACGGCAGCCAGGAACAGAGTAGTCAGTCAGAATATATATATATCAAAGTTATATTTGAAGACATCTTTAGAAATTTCAAGACACGTTCAACTCAAGTAATTACCAAGCAGGTTCATTTCCATTGTAGAACTGATGGTAATGAAAAAGCGAATTTCCTCACACAGAAAGAACAACTTACTAGGTGCATTAGATTTCACTTTCTAAAGCCTTTGATGAATTTAATTTGTAGATTTTTCATGCAGAGTCATTGCAAGCATGTAACTGAAGAACATGGAATGCTGTTTGAATAAATCCACCTGTGATTCCAGATTCTCAAAAACATATAGTTGTCACAAAATTCAAAATTTTAACAGGTCATGAATTTAAAGGTTAAAATAAATCAAAAAAGCTTAGACTGATGCACAGTTTGAATAATTCTTATTAATTTCGAGGGTTATCTGATATACATTTCTCAAAAAGCCAGGAATAAAAACCTCTTTTCATTTTCTTTTTTTTTTTTTTAACCTGAAGAAAAGGGACCTATGTCAGTTAATTCTTAAAACTGACACAAGATTTTATGTTAAGCTGCTATTTTTGCCTTACTTTAATTTTACATTTTTTTGTCAGTTAAGTATGACATATTTTTATCTGCTCTTGAATGTCAGAAACATCAATTTTTCTAAACCATCAGTTGTATCAAAATAAAGTACTGTGGAAGTACATTTAAGTAAAATAAGTATGTTTCACAGAAGGTTCATAAGTATGTATTACAGAAATATAAATTCTAATCATATTGGAAGTCTTGTAAAATACAAATACATAATTATAAATGTTTGATATGCGCGTATTTGGTTATATGGTACCTATCCCCATACTGCTTGATAGAGTACTCTAGCTGATGTGTTTGTATAATATCTACAAGACAGATAATAATTTCACTGGCATGGTCGGTTTCCACAGCCACAGTAATCTTGTTTGCAGATCAGCTATAATATTCGGTACAAATATTTTGTTTTTCATTTATCATTTTATGGGGATCATCAAACCACAAAAGCTGAGCAAAATGTGTCCAAAATCACATTTGTTAGGATATAAACCTAACTATAAGTGTTCAGCAGTCTTACGACTCATGGGCTCTTTTCGGATGATAATGAACTGCATATATCTAATATATAATACATTAGAAAGATCTTCACATTTTACATTCCTCATGTTATGCTCTTGACATTTTTTCTAAAAATCTATTTGTTACATGCATTAATCCTTCACACATGTTTTGTTTGTAAAAGTATTACACCTAGTCTTCTGTGAGAAAATATTATTTTGGAAATCAAATATAAATCAAGTACTTTAATTGAACTGAGATTCAAATATAAAAAATTGGAAGACTTTCATAAAATATCATGTATGTTTCTTATGTGTTGAAATTGGGAGAGAATTCCAGATTTTATTAGATAAACAAATTTAAAAAATTACATATTAACCTTTTCAAAAATAGAGTATATTTGAGAATTTTACTATCAGTTCATTCAATGTGTTAAATTTCTTAAAAAGCAACCATCACACAAAAATTCAATACATTTTAGAAAATGTTAAAAAATTAAATTATAATTTGTTAGTATTTAGGAACCTGTTGGAAAAAAGTATATAAGCTTATGGCTTTGTTGGCTAAATCTGGGTACCTAATATAAACAAAAAAAAGAAAGAAGAAAAGCAACATATCTTCAGCACAAGAAAACTTGGGAAAGCCTTTTTTACTTGGCGATCAAAAATAAATGCTCTCTTTAATTTTCAGGGCTACAAAATGAAGCGAAATGTCCAATTTAGCAAATCATTTTTACGATACAACATCGTACAGCTTCTATTGCGGGAGCGGGCTAGGAATTTTATTACACATGTCCTGTGAGAATCCACCGAATTTTCCTATATTCATTCCATTGTCTTTTATAGAAATGGAAGCTAAAAAATTATTATAAATCGAAGCGAAAAAGACGTCATCAAAAGGTGCGAAAAGAGGAGAATATGAGAGGAAAGCAAATATGAAAGAAAACCTTCCATTGCTGGCATAAAAATTGGTCGCCAAAAACAGTCGCCGGGGGTGGCTTATTCTGATTGCTTGAATTTCTCAGTTCCCGGTGGGTTTTAGCCACTTGTCTCTCGGCTAGACGAAACATTTCTCGGAAACCTCCCGTTTAAACCAGTGCTACTCGAATCTTGTTTCTCGGAAACGTCCTGCCTAACTGTGCACGTTAATGGATATAACCCATTAAATAAAATACGTTTAACTTATACTAAAAATGAACAAATTATGTAAAAATTTTAAATGGGAAAAAATCCACAAATAAATAATGGCTGTTATTATTTATTATTTTAATTAGACATATAAAAAATACATAAATAGGTATGTATGTTTATATCTTATTACAAAACCTCATGGCATTTTGATTTTGATAACAGTTTGTAACATGAAAAATTATTAGAAAATACCTTTATCATGAATTATAAATGGTCGCTGATTAGTCTTTTTTTTTTCTAATTTATTAATTTGCAACTGAAGGGGGGAAATGTTCACATATATATGTATTCCCAAACAAAGCGATTATACTTGTTTCAAAAATTTGTAACCGAGTTTATTTATCTTTTCACATGTATGAAAAACGTTAATGAAATCTGTATGTGCATACCTCTGAATATGATTTATATCTCAATGTAAATTCATAGACTTTTTTGGGACGTTTATTGCGGTAGCGAAACTGATGTAAAATTGGACTAAAAAATCATTAAAATTTTAAATTTTCTTCAAATTCTACCCTGCTAATTAATCAACGGGCTGTGTAAAATTGCTTCGACAGTCGCATGCAGCCCACAAATTCAAGACGATCTTAACCAACATAAACAAGAAAACAATCCAAAGTTAGTGGATATTTTAAAAATCTGTGATGGGAAGAGAATGTATTTTAAAGTTTCAAGAAATTACCCTTACTTTAAAAAACTTTATCAGAAGAGGGCAAAGAAGAGAAAGATAAGTAGTTTTAAAATTTGACTATAAAATAAAATTACTAAACTAACTCAAATTCTTTGCTAAAATAACTGAAACTAATGAACAAAAAGCAATTTTTTATGTTTGTTATGCTTATATGTATAATGGAAACTGAAAGATTTAATGGAACAAAAAGTAATTAACCAGAGCTTATGTCAAATATAATTACCCTCTCACTTTTAAAATATTCTTTTAATTGGTGAATGATCAAACTAAATTTCCAAATTCTAATTCTTCAAGAACATGAGGAGAGAATTTGAGACCTCTCAGAATTATGTTGATTATACTTACCACAAGAAAAAAAAAAAAAAAAAAGTGAACAAAATAAAAAAAAAAAAAAAAAAAAAAAAAAAAAAAAAAAAAAAAAAAAAAAAAAAAAAAAAAAAACCTTAAGGTTGAACTAAAAACCAAAAAAAAAAAAAATTTTTTTTTATTCCTTCCCCATGTTCAAAGTGTCTGGCCGAATAGGATTTATGGCTAGTTGGCTCTTAGATCTCATTTCAGATTTTACAACTTAAGCACAAAAGCTTTAAGCGAAATCCTCGTTAATCAGTTGAAGCTGTGCGACAGAAAACAACATTTTATTTATACTAAATTCAAATTGCACAGACCCACAAAGCATGAAATGAATGAAGTTTTTTTGAAAATTTTTGACTTGTAAACTATGTAAAAAAAAGCTCTTATCTTCTTTCTTCATAATGATATCTTTTAAAAATGGCACTTGATTCATAACTTTCACTGAAATAAAATATAAAAATTAAAAACAGCATTTATTTTAACATTAAGTCATGTATTTTAGAGTTATATTAAGACACATAGCAAATTTTCACAGAATTAAGCTTATTATATTCACTTTGAAGGCGAAAAATGCGGGGAGGATTTACCTAAAGCTTTAAAAAAATATTAAGCACAGTATGACTACATATGAAGAAATAACAATTTGTACTTGGACTCTAACAAACACACAGAAAGCATGGGGAAAAAAAAAAAACAGCAATTCATATATGACTGGGAATTTTTTTATGCAAGATACACTTTTCCCATGATGTAAAAACTTTGCTTATAAATTACAAAACCATCTACATATTAAGGAAACTTAGTAAGCATGTAATAAGCAAACATTTAAATCACTAGTTATCTTATGTTTAATAAATCATTACAACAGTTATCTTTTAAATGCACTTTCTGAGTTTACATCATAAACCCTTAATAACTATCACACTTATTAAAGGTGTTTAACTTGCCCACCTACTCATGCAAAAAAGTTAATCTGTACATATTTATGTTGTCAAAAAGAGCATATTTATGTTATGGCAAACTTCTGCTGCTTAAAAAGGAATATCTTCACTGATAACTTTTTACACCTAAATGAAATGTAGGTTTAACAAAGAAAAAAACAATGAAAATATGACTGCAAGATGTCCTTTTTTTTATTGCTAAAAATCAAACCTAATGGTACTTCAACAATGTTTTCTGATATATATGGGGAAAAAAAAAAAAAAAAAAAAAAATGACAGACTAAATACCTTAAAAGACTGTTATTTTAAATATTTGGAATGGAATGGAATATTCAGTTATGGCAAAGCACACGAGGGCTATCTGCCTAAAGGGAGGGATGCCTTTCGTGGAGGACTTTCTAAGGGAAACTGGCTCGTATACACGTTACACATGGGGAAAACCACGAAAACGCCCATGCAGCCAGCCCGTTTGCGGGATTCGAACCTCAGACCGAACTACCAGTGTTCAGCGTCTTTACCGCTCGGCCGCTGGTGGGCCTTTAAATATTTGGATTCCTAGTTATCTAGTGTTTCAAATTTTTATCATAATTTAATTAAACATATTTCAAAATATTTTTGAGGAATTCTTGATGATAATTCTTAAGGAATTAAAAAAATTAATAAAGAATGCCTCAATAACTAATTACATCTGAGGTTGGTATTGTCACCTCTATCAATCAGTATAACTGAGCACTGACATACTAATGGCCAGAGAACATTAGAAAAACTTCAAAATACTTCTCTTTTTTCACTATTTATAACCTCACTTAATTTGAGTTGTACAAAGTCTCTAATCCGGACGTCCATTATCCGGAATGATCTATAATCCGGACCTCAAAGCCACAAACTTACGTATGTGCGTAAAGCCAGTAAAGCGGTTACCCATGAGCGCTTCCGATAGTGAAGAAAGTAACAGGGAACGTTATTCAAAATGAAAAAATTTCGATTGACAAGTTAGTCGGTATTCTCGACACAGCAATTACAGGACTTGAACAGTGGAACTTTGTAACTGAACAAGAAATTATATCTGTTTATAGAATTAAAGAGAAAGTATTAGCACAAAAAATGAAGCAACTTAACTTACATTGATAGAAATGTTTACTAAAGTAAACAAATAAATATGAAGTTATTTTTTGTAAATTTTGATACCTATAATTGCTCTTTGTTTCATAAATTACAGTTTCATATTTTTAATTGTATAATTTCTGCATGTCATCTTACCAGATTTAAATTGATGATCTATAACCCGGAAAAACCCCTAATCCGGAATCGCCTAAGTCCCGGCGAGTTCGCATTACGGACTTTGTACTGTATACAGTCAAAAGGTCTTTAATCCGGACTCGTCGGGACTTCTGCAATTCCGGATTATCGGTTTTTCCGGATTATAGATCATCAATTTAAATTTGGTAAGATGGCATGCAGAAATTATAAAATTAAAAATATGAAACCGTAATTTATGAAATAAAGAGCAATTATGATCTAAAGGGTATCAAAATTTGCAAATAAAAGCTTAGTATTTATTTGTTTACTTTATTAAACATTTCTTTCAACGCGCACATGCTTTGTAAAGCATACATTACGCATAGTTGAAATTAGAAAATTGCAACCAGAAAACTATTTGATGTGTATTCATGATATTTATAATGACGAGGAATTTGATTTAAATCATATCAAAGACAGAGTACATCGAGATGAAATACTACATTTAGTAAGGAATCATAAGCCGAAAAAAATAAAAACATCTGCCCTGAAGATAAGGATAGTGCTTACAGATCAACTTCCAGTTAATTGCATGCCGCAACGTTCCCCCTCCCCTCACAGAGCAGCGTGAAATTGATAAACAGATTTCGGAATGGTTAGAGAAACAAAGGATATGCCTTTATCCATTTTTTGCAGCAATTCCACTTTCTGTTTGATGGACATAGAAACATGCTTTTGCTTTGTACGAGGGTATTTCGAAAAGTTAAGATGGCTCGCATTCCTTAAAAAAACATTTATTTAGAAAACTTCAGTTACATCTTATTAACTGGATTATTTATTATTTTTCGACATAATCACCCCCGTTATCCAAACATTTGTTAAGTCGGTGCACAAGCTTTCGTATCCCATGGTCATAGAAGGTTGCCGCCTGTTGGAACCCAGCGTGCACACAATTTCCTGTACCCTAACTTGACAGTCACAACTTCATAAATAGTTGTCGTTGACACTTCCGGTATGATCTGATGCAATTCTTTCAATTTGAGACGTGTATTTGCACGAATTACTTCCTCTGTTCTCTGAAGAAGGGCATCAGAGATCACAGATGGCCAACCTGTTCTTTGTTCGTCATGAACATCGCTCCTACCTTCAGAGAAATGACACCATTTCATTACATTTTGTCGATTCATAATGTCCCATAAACAGAAACAATTTCTTTCTGAATATCCACTGACACATTTTGCATGAAGAAAACATATGACGGAGTGTTCTTTGCATTTGGTGGGATTCTAAATCGGGGCAGCCATTTTAAACACGACCTACTCCAACCAGAATCAATGCTGAAATGCCGAACGTCCGCGAGTAGAAAGCTAACGGTTCAAGGTTAACACCTGTGTTGCCAAATTGCTCACCAAAACTTTTCTTTTCCTCTGACGTATGGTGTATCTTTACTTTTCGAAATGCCCTCGGAGATCCTTTGGCAGCTCCAGAATCGGAAATTTTTTTTGACATAATTGAAAGTTCAAGCTTACTTTTATAAAATTGCTCTAAGAGTCTGCAAAAAATAATAAGCCAGATCCAATTAGAAGATTAAGGAACAACACAATCTGCAACATTAAGTGAAATAAAAAATTAGATAATTTTAGCTTAGCTTATACCATCCGTTTGTAGCTTTGAGGTCCGGATTAAAGAGTTTTGACTGTATTAATATTGAGCAAATGGATGCTGTTTATATGAAAAGCTGTGGATAGTAAAAATTCAAGCTTGTCAGGGTTCCATCAAGATTTCAGACTCTCTCTTGAACATAAAATCCAGGAAACTTGACCTTCCTAGCAGAATAAGTTAAATCAGTTATTGTTCTGCGCCAAATTTAGTTTCATTCAAAGAAAAATGAAGAAAGTAACTACAATATATCAAGGTTTCAATCCTGATCTTAAGTTCTCTCTGAAATGTCTGAAATGATCTAAAATCTTCACATCAAGAAAAACAGGCAAGGCTTAGTTTCATTCTAAGAAACTGCTACTCTGAAAATATGAAGGTAAGCCCTAAAAGTGTAAAAGTGTTGGATAACTTACTTTTTATACACTTGTTTTTGCATTCTATTGCACAAAACTTTGACAATGATATCACATTTTCATTTTATACTATATAAGATGACAAGAACTATGATTATATTTGAATGATTTATCAGTGCCACTTTTATGAAACTATGGACTCTTATCCATTATTTTCACTTCTTGTTTCATATTACACAAACTAATTTTAGTAGAAATAAATTTTCTTTATCTTCAGGCACACTGTCAATCATTTTTTTCCACAGTTCCTACTTATGAACTATAAAACGTTCTTATGTGCTAACACAAATATTTTAATATTTCCTCATAACAAAAAAAATTTTGTCACTTTTCTGTTAATAGTGCAGCAATTTTCGCCAAGCATAAACATTGGCACAAAATCTACCTAGACAGCGAAACACCTAACAATACATAAAACTTCATGAAAAGAATAATTTATTAAATGCAAAATAAAAATAAATACAAAGTAGATTTTACCTGATTAGTTTGAGATTATATAGGAAGCATAAAACTGCTATTTCATTTAACATTGCTAAAAACATATATCTACGAGGCGTATTCGGAAACTAAGTACCGTTTTAAAAAAAAAAAAAAAAAAAAAAAAAAGGTAAAACAATTTTTTCGAATCCAATTTTATTTTTACATGAAATACATGTCTTAAACTATTTTTCAACATAGTTTCCGCCAATGATCAAACACTTGTCATAGCGGGTGACCAGTTTTTGTATACCATCGCCAAAGAAACTTCCCGCCAGTTTCGATAAATACGACTCCACAGCATTTTTTGTTTCATCGTCAGATCCAAAGCGCTTGCCACCAAGCTTGCGCTTCATGTGCGGGAACAAGTGATAGTCGGACGGCGCCAAGTCCGGGCTGTACGGTGGGTGATCGAACTGCTCCCAATGAAACTGTCGAATTAACGATTGAGTGACACCAGCAGTATGGGGCCGAGCATTGTCATGCAGCAACACAATTCCTTTACTGGGCATTCCTCTTCGTTTGTTTTGAAAGGCACGCCTTAGTTTTGTTAAAGTCTCACAATATCGTGCCACATTAATCGTTTCACCTCTGGGAAGAAATTCAGTAAGCAAAAACGCCTTTCCTATCCCAGAAGACAGTGCACATGATTTTTTGTGATGACATTGTCACTTTGAACTTTTGTTTTTTCGGAGAATGAGTGTGTCTCCAC